AGAATGACCTAAAGGATACTGGGACTGGATTGGGGTAAGCGTCACATCTGGAAGATGGAACTTGGCATCGTGAAGGAAGAGAGTGATCGTTAACTGGCATTCCAGGATTTCCCCACTTGTGAGGGCTGTGATCAGGCCTAAATGGTGGACCCCCACTGTTGTGGTAGCATCTCCTGTGTGGCTGCTTCCTGGAACTCCTCTGTTCTTTTATACGTACCCTCAGCCAGGCGTGGTGGCTCATGCCCGTAATTCCAGCAATTTGGGAAACCAAGGCAGGAGGATCACTTGAAGCCAGCAGTTCGAGACCAGCCTGGGCAACAAAGCGAGACCCCATCACTAAAAAAAAAAAAAAAAAAAAGAATTAGCTGGGCATGGTGATGCACACCTGTAGTCCCAGCTACTTGGGAGGCTGAGCTGGGCGGATCACCGGAGCCCGGGAATTTGAGGTTGCAGTGAGCTATGATCACGCTGTTGCACTGCAGCCCAGGCAACAGAGCCAGACCTTGTCTCCAAAATCAATAATGAATAAATAAACGTACCCTCCCTAGACCTCAGTCTCCTCCTCTGTAGAATGGGGACATCATCAGCACTTCATCAAGAGGGTCGTGGCGAGGTGTTTGGCATGGTGCCTGCACACAGTAAGGGTCCTCCAGAGACGGCTGGTAGGATTACTGGACTATTTTGAAACCCTTCTTTTTAAAACCAGAGATATGGTACATACACATTCATTATAAAAATCTTATGAAGAGTATAGAAAGAAACGGGAATCAGCCCCAGTTCTTCCCTCAGGGGATGACCATTTCGGTCTTGCTCCATTTCCATCCATGGCTGCAGGCAACAGTCTGAGACCCTGATTTTTAAACTTTTTCCTTCTCCAGGGCTTTCCCATGTCAATCAATGCTTTATACGTCGTTTTTAATGGCTGCCTGCTGCTCCCCTGACGGCTATCCTGCACCTTCTCCCCTCCCTGCTCTGCCTGGCCTCCTCTCATCTCTCGTGCTCCTCTTCCTGTGCCTGGTGAGCCTCTGGCTCTGACAGTAACTTCTGTCTTCACATGGAGCTTCCAGCCTGGATGGTGTTGGAGGCCAGGCCTGGGTCTTAGCTACATGGGATAGCTCCCAAATCCCAGGTCCCTTCCAACCCATCCGGTGAAGAGGAACACATTATCTCTCCCTCTTCCATTGTCACCCTGACCTCCCTTCCACAACACATACCCCAAAACCCTCAGCCAGAGCTTAGCACAGAGACTGCAAGCAGTAGGTGCCTCATCCATGTCCCATGACTGATGGGTAGAAGATAACATGAAAAGAAAGAAGGAAGTAAAGAAGAAAAGGTGGAAGGGCAGGGAAAGAAAAGGGAAGAAAGGATGAAAAGAAGGAAAAAAAGGAAGGAAGGTCTTCGCACATACTTTCAAGCCTCACTGTTCTTGCTCTGTGGATAGTTATTTTGCTGGGGCCGGGCACGGTGGCTCATGCCTATAATCCTAGCACTTTGGGAGGCCAAGGCTGGAGGATCACTTGAGGTCAAGAGTCCGAGACCAGCCTAGGTAACATGGTGAAACCCTATCTCTACTAAAAATACAAAAATTAGCTGGGTGTGGTGGCGGGCACCTGTAATCCCAGCTACTCAGGAGGCTGAGGCATGAAAATCACTTGAACCCGGAAGGCAGAGGCTGCAGTGAGCCGAGATGGTGCCACTGTACTCCAGCCTGGGTGATAGAGCAAGACTTTGTCTCAACAACAACCACAAAAAAAGTTATTTTGCTGGAAGACTCCTACTGATCCTCCAAGCCCTGGTCACAGAGCCTTCCCCTCATGCAGCCCTTCACCTGCATGGCCTCGCTTACCTTTGTCACAGTTACTGTGATGCACAGATAGGGAAACTGAGGCTCAGAAAACTACAATGAGTTGCCCAAACTCTCACAGCAGTGAGGGGAAGCAGGGGGGCTTGGTCTCCTTCTCTCTCACCCTGAGTCCTCACCCTCAGCTTCTGTAGCCCAGCCCTGCCCGCTTCTAGTTCACACATCTCCAAGATCACGAGCCTCCATCATGGATCCATGAGCTGAGGCTGCATTTTAGGCTCTCGGGGAGTTTTCTGGAACAATTCAATAAATGAATGCATTCATGCATTCTGGTGCTAGCCCCGAACTCATATTTGATAAGAGAAGACTCAGATCTTGGAAAAACAGCAACTGTTTTTCAACACCAGCTGGTGCCACAGCCTCAATGGATTTGAACAAATTCAGAGAGCAACTGGTGTCTTTTTCCTTCCTTCAGTTCCCTTTGTTAAACTGCCATGTGTTCCTGGCAACTGGATTTCGGGAGACATGGAATTCAGAAGAAGTGAGAGAAAGAGGCCAAAGGCAGGGCTCTCTGCTTCCTCGGGACCTTTGTAGGTGGGGAGGTTCACGCCTTTTCGAGGGACTGTGGGCTGGGCACACAGCGCCCTGCTGAGCCAGCTCATTCCTGCAGCTTCAGCAATGCCCTGGATTTCACTCTGCGGACAGTGGTTTCACCGGCTCTGTCCTCCCTGCGTTAGCACAAAACACTCTGAAATTCTAGCCGAGAAAGTGTGCCAGTTCAGAAAACACAAAGACCTGGCTCTCCTAGGTCTGCATGGAACCGACATGCCCTTTACTAAAACAACCAGCCCTTCTTGGCAGAAAGAGTGGCTGCAGCCAGCAGCCAGCAGCCTGCAGTCTGCTTATGCAGAGTGTTGTCTCTGCTTCCGACCGGCCCCGGGCTCATCAGATTCTAATAAATATCAGTTTCTTTTCTTTTCTTTCTTGTTTTTTTTTTTTTTTTTTTTTTGAGATGGAGCCTTGCCCTGTCGCCCAGGCTGGAGGGCAACAGCGGGATCTTGGCTCACTGCAACCTCTGCCTCTTGGGTTCAAGTGATCCTCTGGCAGAGCTGAAGGGGACCCCAGCGTGATGGCTTCCTGTCCCCACTCCTTGAAGTGTGCCCCCTCCATGCCCAGCCTCACAGGTACCCTCAGGACAGGAGGCCCAAGATGGATGGCGGCACAAGACCTAGAATGCAGGGTTGCCTGGAGCCCCTTTGGTCTGTCTGGGCCTGGGGAGGTCCACTTGGAATTGCAGCCCCTTCCTCCTGGGCCCCACAGCCCACTGCCCTGTGCTTACCCGGCCCTCCTTCTTGCCTCCCACCATCACAGTCAGGCCAGTGATCTCCCCCTGCAGGGCCCCAGTGGGGATGCTGGTCTTGGCATTAATTTTTGGAAGAGAACAAAGCTTGAGCTGGGGAGGGAACTGAGCAGGTGTCTGAAGGGTGGAGCAGAGCCCCGCAGGGAGGCTGAGCTGATCAAGGACAGACCCGAGATGCCAGAAATTGGCCACCCCACTCCTGGATGAGGCAGCCCAGGCAGAGCCTCATCTGGGCATGTCGTCCCCACCTGCCTCTGCAGCATCTGGGTAGACCTGACTCCTCTGAGGCCTAGGCAGGGGCCTGGAACTTCCTATCTGGGATCTTGGGACAGGCCAGACAGCCTGGCTTGGCCATTATCTGTCTGAGAAAGCATTCTCCCGAGTGCCCTGAAATGCCAGGAAAGTAGTCAGGAAAAACAGAGGCGTAAATTGAAAACCATCCTGATGATAAGCATAGCTCCTGGTGCTGGGAAAGGGCTGGGCCTTTTGGAGATGGTGTTAACGTTCCTGGTGTGACTTTTACCAAGAGTGAAACGCACGGCTCTAAGCTCTTGCGCTGCTTCTTTTCTTCCTTGCAAACTGCTGGCTGTTTGGGCAGGAGGGTGCTGCCTGACTCTGGGGCTCCACAGCCCTTCACTTCCTCCCCATTCCGTCTCTCTCTGAATCTCTTTCTCTCTCTGCGTCTCACCTAACCTAAAGGTTTTGCTGCCCAGACATGGCAGTGTCCTCCCAGAAGCCTGTCTGTGAGCTCTAGACACACAACAGCCAAGAGGCCAGCCTCCCTGGGCACTTCAAACTTGGCAGGACCCCAATCACCGGCATGATATCCCCAGCCCAGCTCTGCCTCCTCCTCTATCCCCTTAGGAAGCAGCTCTGGCTCTTTAGCTCCTTGAGTACAACCTTTCCATGGCTCCCAGTTGCCCTAAGAATAAAGTTCACGCTGAGCTAAGCTCTCAGTCTGGCTTCCACAGACTGCCCCAGTGTCTGTTCCCAGCCTTCCCTGGTGTGCAGTACTCCCTGGCACTGGAGGTGGGTGGAGGTGGTGAGTTCCTTGTCAGAATATCTGGGGATGCTGTTAGAGTCCAGGGGTGCAAAATGTCCTGTCCTGAGGCATTCAAGACACACGGAAGAAGCCTTCAGCCTTGCCAGGAGCACCTCACGCCAAGTTCCCCAAAGGCCTCAGGTTCTTTTTTTTTTTTTTGAGATGGAGTCTCGCTCTGTCGCCAGGCTGGAGTGCAGTGGCACGATATCAGTTCACTACAACCTCTGCCTCCTGGGTTCAAGCGATTCTCCTGCCTCACCCTCCTGAGTAGCTGGGACTACAGGCACGCGCCACCAAGCCCAGCTAATTTTTGCATTTTTAGTAGAGATGGGGTTTCACCATGTTGGCCAGGATGGTCTCGATCTCTTGACCTCATGATCCGCCTGCCTTGGCCTCCCAAAGTGCTGGGATTACAGGCGTGAGCCACTGTTCCCGGCCAGGCCTCAGGTTCTGATGATGTCTTCTGCCCTTGCAGCTTCCTCCGCCTGGCATACTCTTCCCCAGCGTCTCCATCTGGCTCACTCCCGCCTGTCCACAGACCTCCTGCATCCCCTTGGCAAACACGGCTATCAGACGTGCCTCTCTTGTGTTCCCTCCTAGATAGGTGCTGCTGTGTGCATTTGCCTCTTGGGTGGGAACTGTGACTCTCTTCTTGGCCCCTTGCCACTTTGTGAGCTCCTTGAGGGCAAAGTCCAGGCCACGGGAGACCCCGGAAGTAGACCCCAAGGATTGGGTTTTCAGGGACTCCTGGTGCCCGCTCCATTAACTGAGGCAAGTCCACCTGTCGCTTTCCGCAGGAGCTCTCCAAGCTGGGCCTGGGGAATGACACAGTGGTGCAGCTGCGGACTCTGGAGCTGCCTGTAGACTACAGGGAGGCTAAGCGGAGGGTCACCGGAATCTGGGAAGATCATCAGCCACAAGTAAATGATGGCGGGAGGCAGCGGGGCGTGGGGCTGGCGATGTGGTGGAGCTGGAGCCTGAGACCCCCGGGCCCTGGTTCTAGGGTTGATGGTTGAGGGGCACCCCGTCCCCAGGCCCCACCAGTCCTGCAAGATCCCAGCTGATTGTCTAAGGTTCTGGGTCTGTTTGTAAAAGTTTAAGTCAAAATATGGAGTAGGTCTTAATAGAAAATCTGGAGAGAAAGGAGGAGGAAAAGAAATGGAAGTATTATTCCCAGCCAGGACTCAAAAATAGTTTCCACCTAAGGGAGAGGCCCTTGGGTTGGGCCCCATCCATACCCATGAGGGGCAGGTAGGTTTGAAGGTGGGCATGAGGCAAGGACCTCTGTGCCCAGGGAACAACTGGGAGGGTGGCCAATCTGGGGGAGGCCCATCTTCATAGCACCCAGCCCATTTTATCTGGACATAATTACTCTATATAAAACAGGTACACCCTCACCCCCCCCAAAAAAAATTCCCCAAACAAGGACCAGATGATGAGGTTAATAAAACATACACTATCAAGGCTGGGCACGGTGGCTTTCGCCTGTAATCCCAGCACTTTGGGAGGCTGAGGCAGGTGGATCACAAGGTCAGGAGATCGAGAGCATACTGGCTAAAACGGTGAAACCCCGTCTCTACTAAAAATACAAAAAAAAATTAGCTGGGCATAGGTGGTGGGTGCCTGTAGTCCCAGCTGACGTCGGGAGGCTGGCAGGAGAATGGCTGGTGAACCTGGGGAGATGGAGCTTGCAGTGAGCCAAGAATAGTGCCACTGCCAACTCCAGCCTTGGGGGACAGAGCAAGACTCTTTCATCTCGCATAAAAAAAAAAAATCCAAACATACATCTATCAAACCATTCAGACATGTTGCCCAGATTGTTTTGATAAAATACATTGTCCCAGTTATTTCTAAAGGAAAAATAATCAGCTTAATAAAATTCTAAGATTTCATTGGACTGCTACTTAACTCCTTTATTAAGTTTCAATTTTAAAAAAGATGCAGAGGTGGGCGCTTGTGGACTCACGCCTGTAATCCAACATTTGGAGCTGAGGCGGTGGATCACTTGAGGTCAGAGTTTGAGACTCAGTCTGGCCAAGGTAGTTGAAACCCTGTCTGTTTCAGAATACATAAAACATAGCTGGGCGTAGAGTGTGGCACCTGTAGTCCCAGCTACTTCCGGAGGCCTGACGGCAGAAGAGAGTCCAACTTGAACCAGGAGGCGGAGGGTTGCATGAGCATGTGATAGGTAGCCATTGCACTCCACCCTGGGTATATAGTAACCAGACTCGTTGTCTCTCTACGCATGAAAATAAATAAATACACACATAAAATAAAATAAAATGATGCAGGTTTCCACCAAAACACGAAGCCTCTGCTGTGGTAGCCTCACCACTTAACCAGCTTGCCTCTCCTCCCTCCAACCCTCCCCCTACAAAAAGAGAATACATTGCTCTGTAAGAATAATTTGAAGTAAAAAGTATTTAAATGTAAATGCAGCACGAGTTTTTATTCAGCCAAAAGAATCCAGCTATTTTTCTTTCCAGCCATATTAATTAGGAGACACTAGTGGGGGATCCTGGGGTTTCCCAGTGGATTTGGGGTTTGAGACGTTTGGCATGGAGCCGGGCTCGCTAAGGAGTGGCCCTCCTGCACATTTGGTGAGCAGGGTGGGCCTCATTTTCCTGGGGTCTCTCTGCTGCTGCCTGTTCACACAGCTCGTCGTGCATGTGGGCATGGACACCTCCGCCAAGGCGATCATTCTGGAACAGTCTGGCAAGAACCAAGGCTACCAGGACGCCGACATCCGGGGCTTCCGGCCGGAGGGCGGCGTGTGCCTACCTGGCGGCCCAGACATGCTGGAGTCAGGGGTCTGCATGAAGGCAGTCTGCAAGCACGTAGCTGTGGAGGATGTCGAGGTGCTATTTTCTCGAGATGCAGGCAGGTATGCTCTGTGGGTGTTTGTTAGGCCTCTGAGCAGGTAGGAGAGAAGCAATGGCCTTCGGCATCCCCCTAGCCTCCAAGAAGCCATCCTGTACCGTCCAGCCGGCCACTTGGCCATGCGGCGCTGCCCCCAGATCGCCCCTCTTTGCTGCCTGCAGGTCAGCACAGTTGCTAACACCTTGCGTGGGGGCTCGTTTGTGAGACCTCCCTGTGGGAACATGGTCTTTGGTGTGTGGATCTAGGAGAAGAGATGGGAAGGCAGACTTCAAGAGCCACTAACATTTCGTGAATGTTTTCTAATTTTGATTTTCGGGGTGACCGAAGTTGTGAGTTAACTATGTTGATGTAGCCCCAGATAAAGATTGATTTATCTTTGTTTTTCCAAGCTCTGATCCCCAGTAGGTGGTTTCCCCTTTCCCCAAGGAATGAGTGAGTAAGTGACTCAGGAAGACATGAATGACAGGGATTCACTGGGATGCCGGTGTTATGGACTGGTTTGTGGAGTATCTGACCCCTTTCTGTCTTGGTCACTTGCTGGTCATGAGATCATGAGGCCAAGAGCCAGCTCTCCCCACCTCATCCCCGGCACCGTGTTCTTTCTGAGGTGAAACAACACAACTGAAGTCTCCCTTGGGTGTCAGTCCTCCCTCCTCAGGCTTTGTGGGTGTTGCATTGCCCCTTCTGCTTATGTTTCACTGAGGTTAGAGGCTGGTCCAAGAATTAATGTGGCATTTCCTGTGGTTGCAGATACGTCTGTGATTATACCTATTACCTCTCTCTGCATCACGGAAAGGGCTGCGCGGCACTCATTCATGTCCCTCCACTATCGCGTGGGCTCCCGGCCAGCCTGCTGGGAAGAGCCTTGCAAGTCATCATCCAGGAAATGCTGGAAGAGTGTGGAAAAGCCGGAGTGCAAAGCCCGGTTCGAAGAAAACTCAACCATGGTGCTACCAGCCAAAGGGAACTGACCGGGGCATTGCTCCTTTAGAGAAGATTGAACGTTTCAATCCTGTGTGTAGCATTCAGCTGTGCATTGAGAAACTTTTTCAAAAATTGCTTGTAAGACAAAGAGGGGGAAAAACTTTTTGTGATTTTGTTGGGCTATTTTATTGTCGGGAGAAAGAACACTCTGAAAGGTGGACATTTCACGGGATGAACTAGCTTCAGTTACGGTTTTCATGACAATAAAATGAAATCCGAGTCATCTGTTTTCTTCTAAAAATCTACACAGTGGGTCTATGTGATCCTGCCCAGACTACGGGGACCACAAACCTGTTTTGGAGAGGCTTACAGAAGCATAGAGACAGCCACTGCTCCAGGGGCCCCATTCCTTGCCTTAGAGCTTGTGTGTCCAGGTCCTGGGTAGCCTTGAAGCCACTGAGACTCTACTGTATGATTTCTCTGTCTCTGTGTTTGCCCCTTTTATTACTTACTCATTTTAATAATTTTCAAGCTTACAGTTCAGTAGTATACAGTACATTTACTTGTTGCACAACCGTTGCCACCATCCATCTCCAGAACTTTCTCCTCATCCCAAACCAAAACTCTAGGCCTGTTAACTCCCTATTCCTTCTTCTTCCCAGCCCCTGGCGCCCACCATTCCACCCTCCATCCCTATGAATCTGACTCTAGGTAGCTCACATGAGGGAGTCATGCAGCACTGGTCCTCTTGCATCTGGCTTATTTCAGCCTCATGTCCTCCAGGTTCATCCATGTTGTAGCATGGGACAGGATTTCACTCTGTTGAAGGCTGAATAATATTCCAGTGTAGGTATCGACCACATTTTGTTTATCCATTCATCTTTAGATGAACGCTTATGTTACTTGCCCCTTTTGGTTGTTGCAAATCATGCTGCTACAAACACTAGCGTGCAAATACGTGTCCAAGTCCTTGCTTTCAGGTAAACATCCAGAGGTGAATTCCTGGATTCAATGCTAATTCTGTGTTTAATTTTTTAAGGAACTGCCATTTTGTTTTGCACAGCAGCTGCACCATTTTATAGTCATACTGGTAGTGTTTGGTCCTAAAGCACAGGTTAATAGCTGGGCTTAGCTTCTCTCCATGGTGTCATCCCTTTTTAAAAACAGAATCTCCTTTCTGTTTCATCTTTTGTTTTGCTTTTATGACACAGCGCTGGGTCTTGTGCCAGGCTTCTCCCAGCAAGAGTCTACCTGTTCAGTGTTTTCTAGGGGCAGATTTCCGTTGGGAGTCCTATTGGTAACATTGCTTTTTTTTTTTTTTTGGACGAAGTGAGCGAAGATAGCTAAGCTCTGGGAAATTTCATGTTGGTGTGATTACAGCTACCATTTTTCACTTGACTAAATTTAAAAAATTCATCATTTAGTGTTCAGATTCATTCACTACTAAGAAAAGCATTTGCAGTTTCCTAACAAAGGAACCAGGCCAGGCACGGTGGCTCACACCTATAATCCCAGCACTTTGGGAGGCCGAGGTGGGCGGATCACTTGAGGTCAGGAGTTCGAGACCAGCCTGACCAACATGTGGAAACCCCATCTCTAAAATTACAAAAAAAATTAGCCAGGTGTGGTGGCGGGTGTCTATAATCCCAGCTACTCGGGAGGCTGAGGCAGGGGAATCGCTTGAACCCAGGAGGCAGAGGTTGCAGTGAGCCGAGATTGCACTATTGCACTCCAGCCTGGTCAACAAGAGCAAAACTCCGTCTCAAAAACAAACACACACACACACACATACCCCCACCCACCCACAAACAAACAAGAAAAACCCAAGAAGACAAAAAACCAAAGGAACCAGTCAAGGCCGCCAGCACACTTTTTGCATTTGGAGTGGCCTTTAGAGGACTCCCTTTGCAAGTATACCTGGATCATTTGCTAGAAAACCGATCAAAGCCTGCATGTTGGGGGATGGGGGAGGTGGTGCTGGGTGGCGTGGACAGGTCTGGCTGCCTGGTTGGTAATGTGGAGATCTGCTTGTGCTATGGGCAGTTCTGTCCCAGGACACTGTCAAGCAAGGGGCCCCCAGGACTGGGCTCCAGTGTTATATTTCAGACTCCTTGGCAGCATGCCATAACATTTTTAAAATTTTTAGATATTATCCAATTGGGAGGCCCAGAGCTCCCTCTTCATGAACTTCCCCATCATTTCCCCCACTGTGGCCTCTGAAGTTCTCCAGGGAGAACCCCAGAAGGCTCATTCACATCCTGGGCTGTGTACTTCGCCCAGCATCCCTTGTCAGTATGCACAGAGCCTGCTTAGTTCTGGCAGTGCTGAAGTCAGTTTGAGAACCACAGCAGAAAAGGCTGAGTCCTGGGTTGGTCATTTAATAGTTGGCGGGGAGGTGGGAAGGGGGGTCTTGAGCATGCTTGTATGTTTGCTCATCTGTAAGAGTAATTAAAATCCTTTCTTGGCAGGGTGATTGTGAACACCTGGTGAGAGAATGAATGTGAAGGTCTTTTAGTAACATTAGAACCCTACAAAAACCGCCCACCTGGACTTGGGGAGGGTAAATGAAGAACCAGCTCTTGAGGGCTTGCAGTCTTAAGAAATGGCACAGGGGGAAAAGTTCTAATGCTTCTAAAGACCCAGCACCTTCATCCTTAGACATTGCTGCTCCTTCTGGCTGGGCAGGCCAAGTGCAGACCGCACTGTGGCAACCTGCAAGTGCAGCACCAACCTGCCCAGGAAAGAGGGAGGCCCTGTTAGGCTTTCCAGCCTCAGAATTGAGACCTCCTTGTCATCAGTCACCTAAAGAAGATCCCCTGAGTGCCAGGCACTCGGTGACAACAGTGAGCAGTAACCCTGAAGCAATGCAAAGTTTGAGAGTACCCTCTTTTTTTTGAGACGGCGTCTCACTCTGTCACCCAGGCTGGAGTACAGTGGCACGATCTTGGCTCACTGCAACCTCCGCCTCCCGAGTTCAAGTGATTCTCCTGCCTTAGCCTCCCAAGTAGCTGGGATTACAGGCAGCTGCCACCATGTCCCGCTGATTTTTTGTATTTTTAGTAGAGATGGGGTTTCACCATGTTAGCCAGGCTGGTCTCGAACTCCTGAGCTCATGTTATCCACCTGAGCCTCCCAAAGTGCTGGGATTACACGCGTGAGCCACCGCGCCCGGCAGAGAGTCCCCTTTCAGAAAGGCCTTTTGCTTTTAGGTGCAAACACTTCTGAGGCTCAACAGGTCTGAAGTAACCATGGTCTTTGGTTTACTTCTCCTACCTACACATAGCTAGGCAGCTCTTCTTCTACTGGCCTGATTTTGCTATTTTCCCATGATAAAGTTGAGGGAAATGACCAGCTTCTCCTCCTGATGTGTCTATGAATCCTTAGTCTGATTCTAGAACATTCGCACCTTGCCATACATAGCCATTTCCCCTGACAAAAATAGTATTTACATTGTAGCGTCCCTGGGGCAGGCAGAGATCACTAAGCAGCAGCTAGAAAGTAAGTAAGACTTTGGAGCTCCTCCAGTGAGCCGCATCCTGTGTGTGGCCCACTGGGTTCTCACCAGCATCCCCCGAGGCGGGCATGTCAGCTGTGAAAGACCAAAAAGCACACGGGAAATGTGAAGAACTGAAGTCCTCTGCCCTGGAGTCATGCAGATCAGACTTGCCTTGGCCTGACTGTTGTTAGTGGAAGGTATAGGAAAAAAGTCCACAAATCAGTCAGAACTGCAGTACAGATTTCCGTAATTTATGCATTCAAATTTCTTTCCAGATGATTTAATGGAGTGAGAAATAGAATAGCTTCCCTGTCGTCTTCACTAGCAATTTGCATGCTGAGAAAGCTCAGCTGTCAGAGAAGAGGCAATGCTTCTGTGGAGAATGCTTCCAGGCAACATGTGTGAACACACGTGCCCCATGTAGCTCAGCTTCCCTGCCACCAAAGTGTGGTGATGCTTCCAGGAGGGACAAAACAAAACCAGAGATAGAAATGCATACAGAATTCTTTTATTTAACTTAAACCATGTAGTACTTTACTAGAAAAAAGCAGAGTAAGAGAAACTAACGTTGCCTTAGCTTCAGCCATTCAAAATAGACAGTTTCTTTTTTTCCATAATGTAAAGAATCCAGAGTATATCGGAATAACAGGAATAAATTCTTACAACAGAATATACAAAAACATTTTGAAATTTTTTTCATCTACTGATTTTTTATATAAACAGGTTTTTTTTTAGGAATAATTTATACACAGAAAGTCATTTTATGTAACAAATTGGCCATGTTATTACCTTTTTTTTTTTTACTTTTTTAAAAAAACTTTTTTTAAACAAGAAAACTCAGAAAATGCATTATTTGCGGTGCATCCATTCCATCCCGCCTTCTGGTTTGATTTTTTTTATCCCAGATAAAGGGATACCCAGAGGTAGACAAACTCTGGCAAACCTCTCACCTCAACCTCACTGGCTTAGAAAGCAGACAGGTGTTTTCGCCAGGCGTCTCTTCCACCTGTGGATGTGTGTGTGCAACGCCAAACATCCAAATGAAAAGTTGAAAACAACCCAAATAGTTTCCGGGTCTTTCTCCCATGTAGTGCAAAAACCCAGTGCTTCCCACAACAGAGATACTGTGGAGTTGGGAGACATGGCCAACAATCCACTGGAGTTAGAGGAAGTGGAGTCAAACTTTAGAACAAATTTTTGTGTATGCTGTAGTTTTTATTAAAAAGAATTGTTTTCTGTATTGGAGATATGTATCTTCGGGATTCTGCCTTCAAAAAGCATTAATCATGATACGAGGCATGTAAGCAAATGGCCTGTGTGCCCCAGAGCTGTCATCTTTTATGTGATCACTGTGTATGCTGTAATCATCATGAAAACCATTGGCTGTGCAGTCAAGTCTTCCCATGTCCATGGCACTGCGTGACAATGACGGCAGCCAGACCAACCAAACCAGATGCTGAACGGTGCCATGCACTGCTGGGCTCCAACACCTCTGCTGTTTCCATGGCCAATGAGGTTCTTTCCATCTGTTAAAGTAGCTACACTCCAAAGGGAAATGACCAGTAAAAAATGATCCCCTTCCCAACCAGAGGGTTCTGGAAGACCAAGATACTGAAGATACAGAACTACTTTTTAAATCATCATTCCTCTGTTATAAACTAGGGCACAAAGCATGGGGGGAAAAGAGGTTGAACCACGGCTGGGGTCAGGGAAAAATCCTTTTTTGGCATATTGTAAAGCTAGCTAGTAAACAGGTGTCCTAAAAAAAAATGGATCACAAACACATTTGCACACACAGAGAAAAAAAGTGTCTTTAAATTATTTTCGGCAATTATAAACTACAAACATTTTATAAAATTATTCTATGTTCTTACAAAAATGCAATGAAACATTTAATTAGTTCTTGTAAACCAGATCTTCGTCAACTGACTACCCGTAATCTACTGGACTTAAGAGCCCTATTGAAAATGCTAATGAGTGACTAGTTAAAACAATGTTGACCAGAAAGATGCGGACACACACACGTGGACATACAAATGAGTGATTATGTTGTTGCAGAAACAAAATAAAACCCTAAAGTCATGCCCCAGAACTGACAACTGACGAGTGCGATGTAGTTCGTGTTCTTGAACAATTCGCCTTAACTCCGAGATCAGTTTCCAGAGTAGGATGTTAGGTTTCTTTGTTGAAACCAAATGCCCATGGACGACTGCTGAGCCTTGATGTGGTCTGATAGCTTCAGAAACCAACAAGTTCAAAACATTGCCCACATTTCTTCCAAGCCCTGCACCCAGC